GTGCACATGTGTGTGTGTACCTGTGTCTGGTGTGGAAGTGTGTGTCCATGTGCATGCAGAAGCTAGAAGAGGACACGGGATTCCTTCCTCTGTCCTTCTCTACCTCTTCCTTTCCCTTAAGATAGGTCTCGTATTGAAGCTGGAACTTGCCGTTTTTTCTTTTGCTAGGCTAATGGCCAGGGTCCCCAGTGATCCTCCTGTCTCCACTTGCTTCCCGTGCTGGGGTGACAGATGTATGTGTGTGTCCAGGCCTGGCTCTTTTATGTGCTGGGAATCTAAATGCAGGTCCTCATTCTTATACAACAAGTGCTCTTAACCACCAACCCATCTCCCCAGATCCATTTTTTCCCATTGATCTTTTTTTATGAAAGAACTGCAAGGCTAAAAAGGGACACACAGGTTTGGTAGGTGAGGAAGGGAGGGGTCAGATGGGGAAGAGATTTGGGGGAGGGAGGATGAATATGATCAAAACACCCTTATTGCACATATCTAAAACACGCTTATTGCATGCATTTAAAACACGCTTATTGTGCACATCTAAAACATGCTTATTGCACACATCTAAAGCATGCTTATTGCACGCATCTAAAACATGCTTATTGCACACATCTAAAACAAGCTTATTGCATGCATCTAAAACACGCTTATTGCATGCATCTAAAACATGTTTATTGCACACATCTAAAACATGTTTATTGCATGCATCTAAAACACGCTTATTGCACACATCTAAAACACGCTTATTGCACACATCTAAAACATGTTTATTGCATGCATCTAAAGCACGCTTATTGCACATATCTATCTCTAGGAGTGATAAGCCCGAGAGAAGGAAACTGGTCTATTTGCATTCCAAGTGTGAGACATTACCCTTCCCACCCAGACTGTAAAAGGGACTCAGACTAAAAGAAAGGGTAGGAAGAAATGGTTTAGGAAGAGGCAGGCTTGAGACCCAAATGCTTAGAAAGTATCACAGGGGAACCTCACTGTCTCTTCCCTTAGGCAATTTTACATATTATTTTTAATGCATCCCCTAATGGCTCACTAGAGGATGGAATAAAGTGTTTTTTTTAATTTATGGTAATTTCATTTAGAGTTTTTTCTATTTTATTTTAATTTTTTATTCATCTATTTATTTTATATCCCACTGCAGCTCCGCCATCCTCCCCTCCCAGTCCATCTCCCATTCTCCCCCACTCCCACCCCCCAGTCCCTTACCTTCCTCCTCCGTCTCCATCCAGGAAAGGGCAGATTTCCCATGAGTATCAATTATAACACATGGAATATCAAGTTGCAGTTAGGCTAAGTACCCCCCATATATAAGGTTGGGGAAGGTGACCCAGTATGAGGGGTAGGATCCCAAAAGCCAGTAAAAGAGTCAGAGACAGCCCCTGCTCCCACTGCTAGGAGTCCCAGAAAAGGACCAAGCTGCACAACTGTCACATATGTGCAGAGTGCATAGGTCAGTCTCATGCAGGCTCCCTGGTGGTCGGTTCAGTCTATGTGAGCCCCTATGAGCCCAAGTTAGTTGATTCTGTGAGCCTTCCTGTGATGTCCTGGACCCCTCTGGGTCCTACACTCCTTTTTCTCTTCCTCTACAGGGTTCTCGAACTCGCCTAATGTTTGGCGGTGGGTCTCTGCATCTGCCTCCATCAGTTGCTGGATGGTGGCTCTCTGTTGACAATCTGGTCCCAGGAAATGGCTAGTTCAGGCTACTTAGCTAGGAGCCTAAGCTGGCGTCCTCCCCATAGACTGCTGGGAGATTTCCCTGAGCCAGGCATCAGCCCAACCTGAAATGCCTTCCCCCCAGCAGTCCCCACTCAGCGCTCTTCCCCCTGTGCACCTTGTCAACCTGACGACTCATGTTCCCATCCTCACCCACTCTCAGTCCACTCTCAAAATCTCTTTTATGCCGCATGGCGGTGGCGCACGCCTTTAATCCCAGCACTCGGGAGGCAGAGGCAGGTGGATCTCTGTGAGTTTGAGGCCAGCTTGGTCTACAAGAGCTAGTTCCAGGACGGGAACCAAAAAGCTACAGAGAAACCCTGTCCTGAAAAAAATCAAAACAAAACAAAAAAACAAAACAAAATCTCTTTTATTTCCTCTTCCCAGGGAGATCTGGGTGTTGCCTCAGGAAACCTCCTTGTTTCCTAATCTCTCTGGGTCTCTTGATGGTAGCATAGTTATCCTTCATTTTATAATTTTATAGCCAATATCCACTTATGAATAAGTACACTCAATGTTTGTCTTTGTCTGGGTGACCTCACTCAGGATGATTTCTTTTCTAGTTCCATCCATTTACCTTCAAATTTCCTGGTGTCCTTGTGTGTGTGTGTGTGTTTTTTTTTGAGACAGGGTTTCTCTGTGTAACAACCCTAGCTCTTGTAGACCAGGCTGGCCTTGAACTCACAGAGACCCGCCTGCCTCTGGCTCCCAAGTGCGCCACCACTTCCTGGCTGTGTCCTTGTTTCTAACAACTGAATAATACTCCATTTTGTAAATGTAACACATTTTTAAAATCCATTCTTCGGTTGAGGGGCATCTAGGTTGTTTGCAGGTTCTGACTCTTATGAATAAAGCAGCTATGAACATGGTTGAGCAAGTGTCCTTGTGGTATGATTGAGCATACTTTGGGGATACGCCTAAGAAAGATATAGCTGGGTCTTGTGGTAGGTTGATTCCTTTCTTCTCTTTGTCCAGGTTTTATTTGCAACAGATGACTTTTTTGCTCCTGCAGAAAACCTCATAAAGGTAAGGCTACAGGCATCCTGCACCGTGAATGACTGGCTTAGTTGAGCTCCGCAGCTGTGTACGCTGAAACCTATGCGCATGTCTGGGACAGAGCCATGTGTTGTGTACTGGGCAGGAAGGATCACGGGAAAAATACCCAGTTCAGTGTCAGCTCCCAGGGAACACACAGAGCCAGGCAGAGCCAGGAGAGGACATGAGAACCAGGTTGTCCAGGGGGAAAAACCGAGATCACTGAGTATGCCCAGTGACTAACATGGATCCCATATTCTGGACTTGGAAGAAAATGGACACGTCTTGAATTTTGGGGATCATTTGCCTAATTACAATAGGTATGGCATTCTTGGTTAAAAAGGGGGCCAGTGGGGCTGGGGAGATGACTGCAGCATATAAAGTGCTTGCTTCACATGCCTGAAGACCTGTAACCCACAGTGGAGCCACAGAACCAACTCTTGAAAGCTGTTTGCTGACTGCATACACATGCCATGGCATGCCCCTACTGCATTCACGCACACACACACGCACACACACACACACGCATGCACGCACACAAGCACACACACACACACACACTTCACGTCTCTACTGCATTCACACACACACTTCATTAAAAATAAAAATAAAAATTAAACTGCGGACAGATAGGGCTTGGGATTTGGCTCGGCGGATAAAGTTCTTGCTGTGTAAGTGTCGGGGACCCACAGGGGATACCCAGAATGCACAAAGAAACAAGGTTCAGAGGTGCATACACCTATAATCCCAGTTCTGGGAAAGGGGAGACTGGAGTGCCCTTAGGTCTTGTGGACCAGACGGTCTCATTTACCCGGTGATCCCTAGGTTCAATGAGAGACCCTGTCTCAAAATATAAATGGGAATTAAAAAAAAGACACAGATGTCTGTAGTCTTCACACTGATAAGAACATGTGTATAGACTCCTCTGTCTGTCTGTCTGTCTGTCTGTCTGTCTTACACACACAAATGCACTCTTACACAAAGGCATCCCCTAAGCAGATAAACACAGAGAACGGACAGTGCTGAGAGCCTTGCTGTCCATCTCCCACGCAGGCCCGAGGGCTCTCAGGCGTGGAAAGGGAAACCCAGGGGTACATGGTCAGTGGGGGCCACTGCATTGCCCCTTCAGCCTTGGTCGGAAGTTCCCAGAGATCGCTGCTCCGTCAGGGCAGGACCCGGCTGTGCTCAGCACGAGCTGACTCACTTCTCTCGGAAGGCGCTGTCCACGTAGCAACTTACTTTCTCCTCAGGAGAAAATGAAAATAAAGCGAGGGCCGGAGGTTCCATATCACACGTGAGCAAATGCCAGAGTTCCGGTATCCAATGATGCACGCGCCTCTCCGAGAGAGCTAAGGGTGCACGTCCTGACCTAACTCACTCAGATGTGTGCTGTTTGCACACCGGGCAAACCGACACAGAAAATATTCACTCTGGTTATTGGAAGTGGGAGAACATCAGCCTAAACGGAAATCGCCAGGGAGTTAGATCAGGAGCTTGGTTCTTCCAGACACACTCCACAAGAGTTCCTGCGCATGAGTGTGGTGCCATGCAGAGGCCAGTTCCGTACTAAGTCCGGGAGGTGGATTTAAGTGGGAGGGTGAGAGAATGGGGCCTTATTTCTTTGATTTTACGTTATAGTGTATCCACGCACATGCAAATAATGCCCTCAACATGCATGTGCAAATCTAGTCACGTTTAAAAACACGAGGTATGCATTTTACATTTATTTTTTTTAAATCAGAAAATCTCTGTTGTAACCCAGGCCTGGAATTGATTTTATATGGCCCAAGTTGGCTTCAAGTTTGTGGCAGACCTCCTGCCTCAGTCTCCTTAGTGCCGGGGTTATAGGTGTGCACCATCATGCTTGGTGAGGTTTTTCTTCTTTTTGAGGTAGGGAGAAAGAGAGGCTGGAAATACAGCTGAGGCTCCATTTGCTCATCAGCTGCAGCCCATTTCTCAAGCTCCCTTGGGGGAGTGGACCCTACCGAGCAGTGTTTTTTGTCAGGGTTGGATGTGAGCGCGCTACCCACAAGAGACTTACACAGCAGACACGTGTTCCCACAGCGTGGAGGCTGGGCATCCAGCATCAAGGCCGGCAGAATCACTGCACTTGGCTGTTCCTCCCTGTGTCCTTACAGGGGCAAGGAGGAGAGAGAACACTCAGTTCTTCTTACAGGGTCCAGTCCCATCAAGAGGGATTCCACTAGTCAACTCCTCATTCTTTAACAAGAACCAGAGAGGAATGAGCTTTTGAAGAGGAAAGGTTATTTTTGCCCTGTGACTTCAAAGGTCTCACCCATGGCTCACTGACCTGTTGCTTTGGGCTTGTGGCGGCACAGGACACCATGGTCCTATGCAGTGGAGGCCTGCTCACCTGATGGCAACCAAGGGACAAAAGAGAAAGGGCCTGAACCTTCTGAACACCCTCCACCAATACCTTCAGAAAACCCTTGAGACTCCACCTCTGAGTTCCACTGCCTCACAATGTGCAAAGCAGAGGGTTAATCTTTTGTTTACTACTTGGATCTTTGGGGGCGTGTTTAACATGAAAACTATAACATGTTCTGCCCTTGTGACCAAATCACTCCCACGTCCCCACATGGTCACACCATCTCATGGACGGAGGTTGCAACAGGAATCTGGGGTCATGAACATTCAGTACATAGCAGGAAAGTCGGGAGTATCTTATACCTTAAAGCTTCTGTGTCTGTAAGTCTATGACATGCTTTGTATGTTTCAAAGTCTTAACTACCTTATGTTCTGGAACTAGACTCTTCCCCCATGGCCCTCACAGACCCGGGCCCTCCTCTTCACTGCTGAGTGGCTGTCACTGTCCCTTTCCCCTGTCTATGCACATTTTGGCGGATCTCATTTAACTTTGCGTCCTTCGTTGTAGAGGTGGCACTGGGCTGTGAGAGAACCCCAGGACCAGCCTAGGGTCTTTTCTTTAAATATGCAGTTGCCACTCTTTCCACATAGTACTTTTTCCTCCTATCATCCTGGAGTGTGAGGACTGTGGAGTGATTTAGATGATTAGTTTAAGGATGCTCAGTCTGTAATAAAGTAAAAGCATTGCCAGCATTTATACATCTCTAAGCAAACACGGGCACTTCTGATGTAGTTTGGCATGTCTCAGTGTCCATGATGGTCTTTGTTGGGAAAAAGCACTAATATCACCTGCCTATGACAGATGAGAGAAACTGAGGTATGGGGATGAGCCTGCTCCCCAAGCTCTGGGCTGGGAGCTAGTAGACAGAGAGGCTGTCCTAGGGTTGGTCACGTACCATCTCAATGTCCTCATACCCTAATGAGGCTCTGCAGTCAACCCTGTTCTCAAGGATGAAGCAGATTTCTCAACGGTTCATTTTAAGAGCCCGAGCTGGTGTCGTTGCCAGCAGGAGTCCTTGCTTTCCCACAGGCAGTGGCACAGTGCCTAGAGCACAAATGTCTCTCCTGACCCCAGACTTCCAGTGGGCTCTCCTGTGACCTGGTCTGGTGACCCATGCTGTGGTGCTTTGCGAGTGTGACTGACCTCCTCCATTTTGCTCAATGCCCACCTAAACACAGGAGGGAGGGAGGGAGGGAGGGAGGGAGGGAGGGAGAGAGAGAGAGAGAGAGAGAGAGAGAGAGAGAGAGAGAGAGGAGAGAGGGGCAGCATCCATGGGGCCCATATGTGGCCTCCTCTGTTGCCGAGAGCGGTTCATTCTGTGGGCTAATGCTCACAGACTAGAAGAACTCTAGTCAGATGCTACAAAACATGGGGGGCACCTCTTGGTCTGGATGGTAGAGCTGGGCATGCAGGTGGGGCAGACACTCCTGGTGTGTCCTGGTCTCTCTGCAACATAGCCCGACAGGCAGACAGCCCCAGCTCTTCATAGACCCTAATGACCTCCAGTGCATCTCCTTAGAGCGACAGTCCAAGCTTTAAGGAACACGAATACACGGAGTTTGGGAAATGGATGGATGGATGGGAGACCAGGAGGAAACGGATTCCAGGTGAGGAGGCGTGACTGTTCATCCACCCTGTGAAGGTTACAGATGGTGGCTGCGGCTCGGGATGAGGCTCAGCTGGTAGGGAGCTTGGCTACTTATAAAGTGATATATAACCAAGGCAGCTTATAGACAAAAGAGTTTATTTGGGCTTACCGTTTCAGAAAGCTAGAGTCCATGGTGGCGGGGGAGGCATGACAGCAGAGGTACCCACTGACAGAAGCAGAGAAGCAGGAAGCTGAGAGATCACGTCTTGAACAGCATGCCCACAGCAGAGTGAAATGGAAATAATTTTAAACCCTCAAAGCCCCCTCCAGTGACATTCCTCTAGTAAGGTCCCACCTCTTAAGCCTTCCCAAATATCACTGCCAACTGGGATCCAAACATTCTAATGCCTGCGCCTATAGGAGATACTACCTGCTCAGTCCATCATGCCTGGCATTCAGGAAGCTCTGGACTTGATCCTTAACACTACTTAAACCAGGTGTGTTGGGGCATGCCTATAATCCTAGCCCTTGAGGTGGAGGCAAGACGATCAGGAGCTCAAGGTAATTAATTCTCGGATGTCTAGCTAGCTTAAGCCTGGACTACCTGAGACTCTGGAAGGCCGTCAGACCAGTGTCTTGAGACTTGGTAGGCACATGTAAGCAAACTGGGCCTTGGGTGGGATGGAGGCTACATCTCTGAAATAGTAGAGAGTGAGTTTGTAGAAGATCCAGGCTGGTGGGTTCTATGCTACAATAAATGTATGGAAGTGGTCAGTAATCAATGTCTTTCTTGACTTAAAGAAAGGAGCCTTAGAGAGAGCCTGAGATTTTCCCAGCACAGTGATAGGAAAGGATGGCTTTGGAAACTGAGTTGGTGTCTCTGAATCAAAGGCCAGTACATCTGTTGGTTAGAACTGAGGACCCTGAGGGTCATGGTGGTCTTTGGCGGCCACATGAGAATCACCCTGAAGTGTGCTTCTATGATGGAAGATGGGGCCTCAGAGCTGCTGTGATCCTTGTGATCGTTCCCCCGTGGGACCTCAAGGGTGCTTTTCTCATCCCCTATGAGATGTCATGGGTGCTCTCTTCATCCCCTATGGGAACTCAAGGATGTTCTCATCCCCTATGGGAACTCAAGAGTGCTATCTTCATCCCTCGTGGGACCTCATCCCCCATGGGACTTCACAGGTGCTCTCTCTACCGCCCCTCACCTCACAGTACCTCTTGGTACTCTTATACTCCTCCATGGAACATCACAGGCTATCCTTGTGGTCCTGTAGTACAGGTCACGACTGGTGTGTCATCCAGCTGGGGATACAGGGCATTATCCGTGGTGTCGACGTGGACATTTCTTACTTCTCTGGGAGCTATGCTCCTCGGATGTCGATTCAAGCGGCCAACTTGAATGAAGGTATGTAGGAGCCACTGTCTCCAGAGAGGAGCCTGAGATGGGGGCTCCTCTGACTCAGTTTGATGATGCTAATCTTGCTGTAAGAAGCAAATGTGTCAGAGCTCTGAGGTTGCTGGGCTGCCACGGAGCCCAAGAATGAGAGGTAGCATGGGCTGCCCTGGGGATTTTGATGTGCGGATTAACTGTGTTTGTCGGCCCAATCATGGTGACCTTCACCTACACGACACTCAGGTGTGCAGAGGCATATCCTTGTGATCCTTGTGTTCTCCTGGTGGGTGGGGGCATTTGCCAAACTGGTTTCCGGGGAAGGTGGGAGCAGCGGGCTGTGGGATCAGATGGGTCAGCTGAGACAGAGATATCTGCAGACGGTGAGCTCCAGCCTGCTTCCAGCTGTATAAGATAGAGTCTCTGTGGTGCAGCAGCTCTGGGGTTCTTAGGCAGGGAACCCTTTCTACCTCTGGGAACAAGGGGCACTGTAGCTTGTACAGGTTTCGTAGTTTATTTCCATACTCTGTCATCCACAACTGAATTAGTTAACACACAGCCACGTGAGTGCACACACATTTTTAGGGAGGATAAACTGAGTCACTGGGTACACCTGTGCTAAAACGGTGCAGTGTGCACAGTGCCACGCCGGGCTCTGCACAGGCCAGCAGGCCTTACCATCTGTCCTCAGGGGACTAGTCTCCTGGGAAGTTAATGACAAGAGGCGGGACTCATGAGGACTGCTTTAACTGTCCGTGGACGCTGCTGTTTCTGAGCTGGCCAATTCTGAGTCCGAGGCAGATGCTGGGGAATGGCTGCTGTTTCTGAGCTGGCCAATTCTGAGTCCGAGGCAGATGCTGGGGAACGGCAGAGCTTCTGGAACTAACCTTGCCATATTCTGAACTCAAAAAGAAAAAAAAAAGTGATCCATCTATGGAGTTTGGCCTAGCGTGAAATGATGAGCAGATGCGGGACCGATGTATTCTACTCTCCTCTGAAATAAGCTGGCAAAGACACAGTGAGCAGCTCCCGTTGGCATGCTAGACTCGAATCCGCGGTTCTGTCACAAAAGCAAAGACGTCCTTAGGGCTGTTGGGAAGATGGAAATTGCCACAGACTTCCTGAGAGAGTGCGTTCCCTTTGTTTCTCAACCCCGATTCTGTGTGCTTGTTTCGAATTCAGAAAATGTGCCAGCCATCCCACCAAGAGAAGCGAAGACAGGAGCTGCAGCGACACCCGAGGAGTTTGAAGCCATTAGTGAGGTAAGATGCTGGTTCTGTGTGCCAGGACTGCAAAGAGACCATTGCAGGCCTGACTGGGTGAGGCCATTGCCTGGAATATGACACCAGGCATCCTGGACCCCTGTCCTTCCCTACACAGAGTGGCAGGACAGAGGTTCCCTCAGTGGTCCATTCCCCTCTGCGTGGGAGAATGGCCTGGCTGTCTACAGCCTTGATGGGTCAACGGGCCCTGCCTGCGCCTGCACACTGCTGCTGGCCCTACTAGGAAACCCTTAACATTACCTCCTGCTGTGACTTGACAGGGAAGTAACTTTTGATGAACTTGGTGAGCTAGGCAAACGGGGCTTGGGCTTGGCACCGTCTCTGTCCTAAGTGTGTCTAGTAATTAGTTCCTGCTGTCTCAGATGTGTTGATCTGTGGTGGGTGGGGAACTGTGGACAAGCCAGCTTTTCGAGAAAGGCTCAGCGCACCATCTTCTCTGCCCTGGGTTTTAGCTGAGTGCCCGCATCACCACTCTGCTTTCTTTTAAGAATCAAGAAAAAGATGTTTGCCAGGCCGTGGTGGCGCACGCCTTTAATCCCAGCACTCGGGAGGCAGAGGCAGGCGGAGCTCTGTGAGTTTGAGGCCAGCCTGGTCTACAAGAGCTAGTTCCAGGACTGGATCCAAAGCAACAGAGAAACCCAGTCTCGAAAATTAAAAAAAAAAAAAGATGTTTGAAATCTTGAAAACTTGAAAGCTTATCTGTTTATAAGATCCCATCACCTAGTTGTAATTGGTATGGGGAAAAACCCCTAACTGGAGTTTATGATGTTTATCATTAAAGCATATGTCATTCAGCAACTGTTATAATCCCCTCCTCTAATTGTTGCATAGAATGAGAGTGTATTGCTCTCAAGAGCCATTGCCGATGTTTCTGTATTTATTAATAGCTAAATTCGGACTCCTGGGATTACCTGGTTCCTATGTCGGAGCTTAAGCCAGGGGACCCTGACTCCAGCCACAACTATTTTTTTGTCAATTCCCAGCAGAGATGGACTCACATAAGACTCAACATCTTCCCAGGTACGTATGGCAGGGATCTTCGACAGATGTGTGGGCTTTTCATCTTACCTCATCATGTTTAAGAAACACAAAATAAGCAATCTTTTCCTGATAATTTGAGCTTGGTATATTCTAGGGTTATGATTTATCTTGTGTGTCAGGAAATTGATGCTCATGGTGGTGATGCTTAGAGGCACTCACAATGGTCCATCATTTGACATACTGTCCTAGGCTTTTCTACAACATGGCTTTCGAACCCCTGGCAACAGGATTGTTTACCTTTATATCAAGAAGGCTGGAAAAGTATCTAAATCCACATGTGGTGTGTGCCTAGGTGGACAGTGAGGGGTTCGTGCTGTGGGACTGTCTAAGACAAAGAAGCATGTCAGCAGGGCCTGTGGTGGTTCCACGTGTGCCAAAGTGTCCACGATAGGGTCAAGTGGGATTTCCTTATTGAGAAGCAGAAAACTGTTTTGAAAGTGTGTTGAAGGACAAGCACAGAGTCAGAAAGCGAAATAAATATGCAGCTTTTTAAAATAAAGGTAAAGGCTTGGTCGAGGGGGGAGGGGAAGAAATCGATACTCGCACACAAAAGGGTAGTTAAGGAAAATAGTCAGGTGGTGGTGACACACACTTTAGTCCCAGCATTCAGGAGGCAGAGGCAGGTGGATCTCTGTGAGTTCGAGACCAGCCTGGTCTAAGGAGTGAGTTCCAGGACAGGCTCCAAGGTTACAGAGAAACCCATTCTTAAAAAACCAATAAAAAATGTGTGAAGTTAAGGTGTGTTGGGACTGAGTTGTGCTGGGCTTCCATGTTTCCTGCTGATTTTTATTTCACACGTGTGTTAACAGTTGAGGTAGCATACACACATGATTCCATTTTAATTTCTTATTTACATACATGTGTAGTGTATTTATCTCTGTATGCATGTATATATGTGAGTAAGGTACCTGAAGGGCTCAGAAGAAGGGTTCAGAAGATCCCTTGGAGCTGGAGGTCCAGGCAGTTGTAATCTCCTATGTGTGTGCTGAGAACTGACCTCTGGTCCTCTGAAAGAGCAGCAAGGGCTCTTAATCACTAGTCTATCTCTCTAGTCCCTATTTTATGTTTTTCTTATGTGGGAGCTTTAGTGCAACATTGTTGTAATCACAGGAATTGCTGGTTTGAAGTCTACAGTTGAAATATAGGGACAGACACATGCAACACAGTTAATGTTAGGACATTTTATTAACTCTGAGAGAAACACGATGACTTGAGCCCAGTGCATCTGTTGCCCAGTGGCTAGCACACACAGGGTTCTGTGTTGTTTCTCTAGCAAGTGCTGCTCACTGTCCCTAGTCCTATACATCAATCTACTCTTTGTGTTAAGAGATTTGACTGTTTTACACCTCAAAAAAACAGAATCATGTTTTTAAAAAAGTATCACTTTTATTTTATGTTCATTGATGTTTTGTCTGCAATCATGTTTGATGGGGGATTTCCTGGAACTGGATTTAGACAGTTGTGAGCTGCCATGTGGGCGTTGGGATTTGAACCTGGGTCCTCTGGAAGAGTAGTCAGTGCTCTTAACCACGGAGTCATCTCTCCAGCCCCTAAAATCATATTTTACTATGTAAAAGGAGTCTGCTAGCTCATTTTCTGGCTGCCCAGACCTGAATAATCATACAGAGACTGTATTAATTACAACACTCTTTGGCCAACAACTCAGGCATATTTCTAGAGAGCTCTTATATCTTATATCCATTATTTTGTATTTTACCACAAGGTTCATAGTTTGTTACCTCTTGCTTCTTAGACAGCTATGTGGCATCTCGTTGGCAGCTACATGGCGCCTCCTCGACTCCACCTACTCTGTCTCTATATCTCTTCCAGCCTGGCTATATTCTGCCCTGCCATATGTCAAAGCAGTTTCTTTATTAACCAATGGTATTAAAACATATTCACGGCATTCAGAGGGGAATCTACATCATTACTGGTCATTTTTTTCTCTAGCTTCTCTTACTTAGCATGATTCTTTCAAGACTCATTTTGGTTGTGCCAGGCATGGGTGCTTCGTTCCTTTTTTTTTTTTTTTGCCAAATGACATTCTATTTTATGGTTAAAGCACATTTCTATATCTGTTTATTAGTTGGTAGACATTTGTTTCTACCTGCTGGGTATAATGAACAATGCTGTTAATGTTCACTTACGGAGTTTTAAAATATTTTATATATGTGAGCGTTTTGCCTACTTGTATGTTTTGTGTGCCTATGGAAGCCAGACAAAGCCACCAGATCCTCTGGAACTAGAGTTATAGATGGTTGTGAGGCACTGTGTGGGTGCTGGGAACAAAACCCTTGTTCTCTGGAAGAACAGCCAGACTCTTAGCCACTGAGTCATCTCTCCAACCAACCCAAGCTTACAGCATATTTTCTGTATGTGTATATTTCCATCTACCTTTATTATATACTTAAGATTGACATTTCTGGGTCACTTGGTAACTCTGTGTTTGAGGATTTGAGAGATTCTAGATAATTCTCAAATGGCAGCCATGCATGAGGAGGCATTTGACTCCTTCAGTTCCCCCCCAGTGCTGGGCATCTTATTTGTGAAGTGCAGTCTTCCTTTTGTGGGAAGTACTGTCGTCTTCCTTTTTTGATTTGTGCTTCCTTGGTGACCAGTGATGGTAACTTCCTTTGTGTTTGTTGGCCCATTGACATATTTTCTTTAGAAAACGACCTCTGTCTATCATTTATTTTCTTGATGTTAGACAATCTGACCGGGGGTAAGATGGGATCTCAAAACAATCTCAATTTGCATTCCTCTGATAGTTGAGGATGACAAACACTCCAGATATTAAGAGCTGTCTCTTCAGTTCAGCCCATTTATTAACCGAATGGTTTGGTTTTATTCATTCATTTTTTTTCTTTGTATATTCTAGACATTGATCTCCCGTCTGATGTATGGTTGATCTTTCCGTCTAGTCTGTAGACTATCTTCATTCTGGTGATTGTTTCCTTGGTTATGAGAAGCCTTTTAATTGCATGTGGATTCCATTTGTCAGTTCTAGAGGTTGTTTATTGTGTCAGTGGAGCTCCTTTAAGAAATTCATCACCACCCAAGGAAAAACATATAATTATCCTCTTGGCTATGGGAAGTAGACAAAATTGCTGGTGAGAAAATTGGGATCTTGGGGGTGGGGTGGGATGGGGGTAAGGGGAGATGGGGAGAGAAAAAGGAGAAGGGGAGGATGGGAGAACTTGGGGAAACAGGAAGATTGGGATAAAGGAAGGTTGGATAGGGGAGCAGGGAAGCACATATCTTAGTTAAGGGAGCCACCTTAGTGTTGGCAAGAGACTTGAACCTAGAGTGGCTCCCAGGAGCCCAAGGCGATGTCCCCAGTTAGTTCCTTGGGCAGATGAGGATAGGGAACCTGAAATGACCCTATCCTATAGCAATACTGACGAATATCTTGCATATCAGCATAGAACCTTCATCTGGTGATGGATGGAGATAGAGACAGAGACCCACACTGGAGCACTGGACTGAGCTCCCAAGGTCCAAATGAGGAGCAGAAGGAGGGAGAACAGGAGCAAGGAAGTCAGGACCACGAGGGGTGCACCCTCTCACTGAGACAGTGGGGCTGATCTATTGGGAGCTCACCAAGGCCAGCTGGACTGTGACTGAAAAAGCATGGGATAAAACCGGACTCTCTGAACATGGCGAACAATGAGGGCTCATGAGAAGCCAAGGACAATGGCACGGGGTTTTGATCCTACTTCAAGTTCTGGCTTTGTGGGAGCCTAGCCAGTTTGGATGTTCACCTTCCTAGGCATGGACGGAGCGGGGAGGACCTTGGACTTTCCACAGGGCAGGGAACCCTGTCTGCTATTTGGACTGGAGAGGGAGGGAGAGAGGAGTGGGGAGAGGGGGAGTAGGGTGGGGGGAGGGGGAGTAGGGTGGGAGGAGTGGGAGGGAAATGGGAGGTGGGAGGAGGTGGAAACTTTTTTTTTCCTTTTCTCAATAAAAAAAAAAGAAAGAAATTCATCACCATGGCCATACTGTGAAATTCTCTCCCCTAATAGTTTCAGGTCTTATATCGGTGTGTCTTTGGTCTATTTAGAATTGATTTTTGTTTAGGTCGAGAGACATGGAGATAATTTCATTTTTTTCTACTTGTGGATATCTAGAGTTTCCTGCTCCTTTTACTAAGGATGTATGCTTTTTAAATAATTTTTTGCTTTTGAAATTTTTGTCAAAATCAAGTGGTTGTAACTGAATTTACTTCCAGGTCTCTCTTCTGGTGGCCTGCACACCTGCTTTTGTGTCAACACCACAGGTATTGTTACTATGGCTCTGTAGCATAATTTCAGGTCAGGTATTGTGATACCTACAAAATGAATCTTAAAAAATAATCAATTAAACTGTCACTCTGTACTGTATTGGCCTGGTGTTTGTGGGAGGGTACGCGTGCTACCACTCTTGTGTGGAGGTCACAGGATGACTTTTGTGGCATTTCTTATCCTCTCCCACTTTACACGGGTTCTGGACTCTACTTGGGTCACTGTCCTTCTGCAGAAAGCTTCCTTATGTGCTGAGCTATCTTGCTAGCTCAGCATTGATCTTTTTTGCAAGCTATCCTCTAGATTTATCTTAGAAACTTCCATAAGGACATATAGATTCTGAGTGAGATGACGTGGGGCCTGTGGCTCCATCAATCTAGTACTATTACTGTTTTATCATTGAGCTCTCAACCCAAGAAGGTAGTAGCCTCGCCCACTACTTCAAATCTCCTTTAACTTCTGCCGACAATGGTTCATAATTTTAGAGTAAAAGGTGTTCATTGTGTTTCCTAAGGAAATGGTATGTTAATGTTAACTAGAGCAATTAAGATCTTCTCTGTAGCTCACAGCTTTAATCCCAGTCCTGGGGAGGCAGAGGCAGCCAGTCCTTTGTGAATTCAAGCCCAGTCTGGCCTAGAGAGTGAGTTCTAGGACAGTCAGAATGGTTATACAGAAAAACTCTGTCTTGAGAAGCAACAACAACAACGACAAAACCAAAACACTTCTATGCACAAGATATGTCATCTGTGACTATACAGTTTTACTTCTTCCTTTCCAGTTGGGTTTCACCCCTTTCAACTTCTATCATGGTTGCCCTGGCTAGGCTCCTTGTGTAGCACTGAATGACAGTGCCAAGAGTCAAAACCCATGTCTGATCTCTGCGGTGCCCTGTGGGTCTTCATACGTCTCCTCCACCAGGCTACGAAAGTTCCCAAGATCCCCGTGTTGCTGAGTGTCATCATCGTGAAATAGTATCAGAGTTTTGTCAAACGTTTTTCCTTTATCTACGGCAAAGATCGTGTGGGTTTTGACTTCTATACTATTGCTGTTTTGTTACTAAGTTGTAATGGCCTTTCTTACCTGTAGCCATATTTGCGGCATGCCCCGAGGACCAGGGATTTGCCATGTCCCACCTGCATCATTGACAAGGGCTTCTCTGAGGAGCAGGGCAGTAGAGTCCCTCACACACATGCTGGTCATTTCTGTAGGTGCCACGTATTTCTGGTGGTTGTGGTGTGGAGGAAGACACCCTCACAGGAAAGACCTGGAGGTGTGTTTTTGGTTCCAGCTTGCTAATAGCAGGCATTATGAAACCAGGTAGGGGGTCAGTGAGACAGGGGTTCTCTGTGTTGTCCTAGCTATCCTGGAACCCATTCTGTAGACCAGGAAGGCCTCAAACTCAGAGATCCATCTGCCTCTTTCTCCTTAGAGCTGGAATTAAAGGCACATGGCTCTACGTCGGGCACCAATTCTTTTCCAATGTCAACATACGTGGGGTTCAGATTCAGAGTGTAGTCAAATGATATGAGTTTCTTTGCAAAGACTGACTTCTGCTACCCAGAAAATCACATCCAGGCAAAGGAGAAGGCCCACTTGTGATGATCAGGGACCGAACGGGTCTGGGTAGCCATTCGCTCCCATGCTTGTCTGTGTCAGACTATGCTTCTCAGCAGCTAGTGGGTTTTCAGAGGATCATCGCATCATGTCCTGGTTGCACAGCAGGGCAATGTGGTGCGAGTCAGTGTTGGAGTCTGCGGTGCTTGCTTCTGACACCAAACATTTAAAAAAAAAAGTATTTATTTATTTATTTATTTGGTTTTTCGAGACAGGGTTTCTCTATGGTTTTGGAGCCTGTCCTGGAACTAGCTCTTGTAGACCAGGCTGGTCTCGAACTCACAGAAATCCACCTGCCTCTGCCTCCCAAGTGCTGGGATTAAAGGCGTGCGCCGCCACCGCCAGGCAAAAAAGTATTTTCTTTGTGTGTGTGTTTGCATACATGTGTGCAAGTGCCCATGGAGGCCAGAAGAGGGCGCTGCATCCTCTGGAGCTGGAGCTACAGGAAGGTGGGTGTGAGCTGCTCAGTGAGAATCCTGGGAACTGAGCTTCTGTTGTTTGCTAGAACACTGAGTGCTTATTTATTTATTTATTTATTTATTTATTTATTTATTATTTATTAAAGATTTCTGTCTCTTC